GTAACTTTAAACTTTTAAAAGGGTAAGTTAGTTTGGTTAGCTCGAACTTCTGTACCAAGTTAGTGGTCGTTTGAATTTGTTCCCGAGTTTTAGATTAAGTTTGGCAAGTTAAAAAAAAAATTAAAAAATTATTTAAAAAGTTAAAAAGTTATCACTATTTATTAAAAGTCAAAAATTACGATTGCATAATTTTTAATCCTAATTTTTTCCTACACACTAATTTATACAATTTTTTAATACACATTTTTTCATAAAAAGTTAAAAAATTAACCCAAACATCCATATTTTTTTCTCAATTTTTTAGTCTAAAAAGTACACTTATTTAGGACACCCCAAACAACCCCTTTATTCCTGTATGATTGTTTATAAAATAATTTTAGGAATTGTTTGGGGTGTCCTAAATCAATATATTTTTTGTATTTTTGAACTAAAATATTGAGAAAAAAAAGATGAATATTTGAGTTAATTTTTTGTCTTTTTATAAAAAAAATGTGTAATAAAAAATTATATAAAAATAATGTGGAGCGAAAGAAATGTGATTTATTGTACGGCAGCCTGCGGGTGCCCAGCATGTCTAACAGAAAAATAATCAACTCTTTCTGGACAAATAACTTTGAATAGTGATGGTTGGTTCGTGGGGGCCACCATGAGTCCCGTTTTAATAATCTGAACCGTTCAATATGTACAATTCGTCGAGTATTATATGTCTGTAAAAAATCACATTGATTGGATATCGATAGCTATATGATCAGATTAGTTTTTTTTCAACAGTCAATTATCACACCATCCGTTTTGTTTATACAAAACTGCTTTGATTATATAGTTAACGATATTCGATCAACGTGATTTTTCATAGGAATATATTAATCGACGAGTTCTACATATTGAACGGTTCGGATTATCAAAAGGGAGTCCTTAGCGGGCCCCCATGGGCCCAACATTTTTATGACTTTACATATAGAATTTTTTTTTTATCCCAAAAAAGAGGAGCACTAATAGCTCTAAAGTAGTGTGGGTCCCACATGATGGGATGTTTTTTGGTTTCTTTTTTTTTTTTTTTAATTTCCACCTCATTAGTGGTCCAATAATGCTCTCAAATTAGTGAGATGAATCATTGTTGATCAACGTAATGCCTATCTCCGCACAACAAGACGGTTGAGAACACCTGCTATCCATTTGTACTTTTGTAATATATAAAATATTTTTTTTATATTTTTTATTTGTGAATAGTAATATATTTTTTACTTTTTGTGTAACTTTTTGACTTTTTGAATTATTTTTGAGATGCCGAACTTGGCTAAGTATCCATCCTTAACTTTTTGAAATTTATCTGGTTGTGATTGAATTTGTGTAATGTGAGACTTATATAGAATAAATTTCAATCACAATATGATAATACTAAATAATTTTTGAATAATTAAATATGAATTTATAGTATTATTGTTGCTTATATATTTAATAAAATTTTGGGTAACGTTTGGTAGAATTTTCTAAATATAATTTGAGAAAAAAGTTGTATTTTGAGTTTGTGAGTTTTGGAATTATAGTTTGAGTGTAAAAAATTTGTTTGGTTATGAGTGTTTTCAAAACTTAATTCAAAAAGTTATCACTCATAACCAAACACATAACTCAAAACTCTATTGAAATTTTTGATTAACACTTATAACTAAATTCTTTTTAAAAGTCAATTAAAAAATTAATTATTAACAAAAAATAATACTCAGAAGGAAACTCTTTTGAAAATTCAATTCAAAAAATTAATTATTAACAAAAAATAACACTCATAACCAAACTCTTTTTAAAATTTAATTCAAAAAATTAATTATTAACAAAAAATAACATAATATTTTTTTTAATTGAAAATAACTCAAAAAGTTATAACTCATGACTAAATACACAACTCAAAACTCTATTGAAAATTTTATTCAAAACTCATAACCAAATTTTTTTTAACATTCAAATTAAAAAAAAAAAATGTCATTTTGGTTTTAAAAAATAATTTTTATATTTAAAAAATATTAAAAACAAATATAATTTTTTTTTTTCAAATAACAAGTGGCGATTGACGATTAACAATTGGCAATTGGCAATTTAAAATATATATATATTATACTGTTCCGTTTAACCGGCTGGACGTCCAGAAAGATGACTGAATAGACTCAAAATTTAAAATTTTTGTGCTTTTAAGAATGGAAAACACAAAAGAGAGAGAGTAGTCAAACGTGAAGAAAAATTATATTTTGAAATGTATGATAAAATCAAATTTTAAAAATTCTATCTAAACATAAAATTCAAATAGAGGGATGAAATTACATTTCCGGAACACAACCAAACACAGTCATGTTTTTTTCTGACAAAGACAGAACCAACCAAATCAGATCCCATTAATTTGCTTGTCCATTAGTCATTTAATGATACATAAAACACAAACCCAGCAAACATGATCGATGGTGCATGTGGAAACATGCACATGGACCATGGCTTGGAGCCAGATAAACACATCATTAGGTAGGTGGACCATGGTTTTGCCAGATCCATAACATGCCCCCACTAATTTACATCACAAATTGGAATTGCACATGCGCTTCATGACATATGCCACCCATTTTACCTCACAAACTTCCAATTTCATTTAATAAATTCTATCATTTTTAAATATCAGTTCCAGAAAATTTAAAAAGTTTTGGTGAAGGCCAACAATGTAGGGCCCTCCATGCATTATAAAAAAAATTAAATTTATTTGGTAATTGAATTTTTTTTATTTTACTAAATTTGTTTATAAAAAAAAATAATAAATATGTATTTAAAAATAACAAAAAATTATCGATAAATCTAACTTAAGGAATGCATTAGGTATTACGTCCAGGAATCAATCTTATTTGGTGAGAAAGACGTTAAAAAGTCGTCAACGCCAAAAAATTGACCAAAAATGTCACCAAAAAGTCGTCAACAGACAGTGGCCGGTGAAGGCAATTGGTGACAGTAAATTGAACAAATAGGTAAATAGATAAGTGACACATAAACAGATGGACATTTAAACAAATAGTTGCATAGATAAGTGACACATTCATACATTTAAACAAATAATTGAATATGTAGATGACACGCGTACAGATTAGAGCATTAAAACAAATATGGAATATTTGAATAGATAGACAAATAATTAAACTTTTAAACAGATAGCATATCTTTTTAAACAAATAATATCCTTTTGGAGTAAAAGGATTTAAGTTTGGACCTATTATCCCAATAGTTTAAAAAATGAACGTTTGGAGTAAGTGCTCTAAGAATAACTCATTTATTTTTTTAAAACAAATACGATAAAATAAAAAAGGTTATCATTATCAAATCTACTTTATTTTTTGTACGAATAGCGGACACGATGAGTGTTATAAAAAAATGATTCAAATTATCAAAATAGAGACACAAAGAGCACTCTAAAATAAACGTTTCGAATTATCAAAATGGAGACATATGAACAGATTCCACAGACCCTTCACGTTTTCATCAAATTATTTCAAATTCAAATTTAGACTGAAAATAAAAAACCAAAGACTTTAATAAACAACAGAGTAATGCAACTAAATGAACTTTGCAGTAACTAAAAAATTATTGGATAAATTACAAACACACCCTTTAATGTTTACTTAAATTACAAATTACTTTCTGTAATTCTTGAAATTACATTATACCCCTTAAGATTTTTAATTTCATAACAAATAGGTCCTTTTATTAATAAATTATCAAGTTAATTAACAGTTTTTAATAATATTCAAATTTTATTTCAATTAATAATTCAAATAATTTTATTATTGCATAGTTGAACAGTTAAAAATTTCACATTTTCAATTAATTCTGTTAAATAAAAAATTTTGACAGAAAGATATTTATAATTTTCCAAATCACACGAGACAATTTGCATTTTAAGCAAATTTCAGGGAGTTTGTTTGTAATTTACCCAGAATTATTCAATGTGGAATCATTGTGAAAACAATATTTAAAACAACACACTTATATATAGATTCCGTTTACTAGTGAAGAACATAGATTTCATCGAGAGAATGAAGCCGACATTGAATAATTGCTCAATAATCATAGCATTAGTCATAGATGCTTTGCTCAATAATCATAGTATTAGTCATAGATGCTTTGCTCAATAATTGCTCAATAATCATAGAGTCAAAATCATATGTATTGTAGGGTGTTGTTAACAAATACCCCTAGCATACAAATAAAAGATAAAAAATTTGAAGAACACAAAACACTTTCCATTAAATTCAATACATTTCAACTGAAATCAATACACTTTTTAATAATTTTACATACTTTCAATACACTTAATACATATTTCCCAACATTAAACAATATACACATTTCTTAACATTAAATAAGGCATAACAAACGCTTGTTAGCATTTACCTGGCTACATTATATATGTTTCTCTTAATCTTTATTACAACCTTTTTTATTGCCTAATTATATAAGAGAAAAATCTTAAAAGACTTAACAATAAAACTTAGGATTGATTAATTACACCAGGAACCCGTCAATTATTAATAAATATCACTTTACTCTATTCATTTATATTGACACATTCAATTATAAAAATTATTCAAATAACTCACTTTTGAAAGTATTTTTGAAGGGTAAAAGTGATACAGGAATTGAACTAATCTTTGCCAATAACTATCCAGTCATTGCAAGTCATGTGGTTTCAATTTTTGATAAGTGAGCAACCGAGAGGAATAGCACTTCAAATACAGAGTGAAGAGAGTTGCAACTGAGACTATAGTCTCAAACAGAGGATTGATTCCAAAAGCAGAGGTCTCAAACAATGCCGCAAGGGATAGGTAACTGGAGAAGAGGAACAATGGACAAATCATAAAATAGAGGTGTGATGCTAGGGTTTCGAACAATGCTAGGGGTCCAAAACCAAAGGTGCAACAAAGAAGGGGTGCGACTGGCAACGAGGACTTCCAATAACTTTGATACCATGTAAGTTTAAAGACAAAATAATATATTGTATATATTTCTCTTAATCATATTACAACCCTTTAATCACCCTAATTATATAAGAGAAACCCTAAAGACTTCACGACACAACTTATTTAAGAACAAAATTCCTTTCACATTAGACCTGTCAATCAATCATTGCCACCCTAGTCTTCTTGTAAAGAGTGGAGAAAGCCCAAGTGCAAAGGAATCTTTTACAAAACGAAACACATGAGACAAAAGATGGGCCCCACATGTGAACTCCACTTATGTACGCCTGACACACCATTGTCTTTACGTCTGTGTCCCATTTTATGCAAGTATAGCTAGAAACAGTGGTCTGGTTTCCAGAACTGTCTTCAGCAGTAAAACAAAGACAAGGTAAAAACATTTTATCATTAAACTGCAAACTTTATATGGTTAAATCGAAAACATGTTGGTGGAGATAACAACAGAACTGTGCTCTGTAGAAGGAGGAAACGAAGAAGAAGCAGGGAGACCAACTGCATTTGAAGAAGGAAGCAAAGAAAGGAACAAAAAGAAAAGCAGTTTGAACCAGATTTGTCCCTCATTTCATGAAGGCAACATCCACTTGGGTGATCCATGAGACTTCTTCAAACATTTGGGGGTGGCCAGATCTTCCCAAACAACTCCTCGACCCGCCTAGCTTGATTAACATAGCCGTCCAATCCAGCAGTCAGAAGTTCTTCAGCAGCAGGGCCCATAGCTGATGCAAAGCTATATTGGTCCCACTTTACAAGCTGAAATAAGCAAAGATCAACTACTAAACCTTCACAGCCACCAAGGAAATAAAAGGGAAACTAAAAATACTACAAACTATGGCTTGGTTATATAAGTTCTAACTATGAAATTTTTTGATAATTTATTTTCCTCGTTTTCTTTTCTTCTTTTTATTTATTTATTATTTTTTATCAATTGAAGGTTCTTCATTCCTACTTGAAGTTTATTTATTATCTTCTTGGTGGCATCAAGAACGATGAAAAGTGGCTAACCCTAGACCCTGCTGTAGGCAAGAGCCTTATCCACTGGGTTTGACCTTTTTTATGAGTGAAAAATAAAAATCATCGTTCATTACTTTAGAGAGGTTATCAAAGTGAGTGATGGGATGGGAAAGACATTGGATACAGGAAAAATCAAAGAATTTGTAATTTTATTTATCTAAGAGTTTTATTTATTTAGGAAGTTGAATTTGTTTGGGATTAATTTGGTTTACCTCTATATATATGACTTTTTATGTGATGGGAATACTTAGAATTTGAAGAATATTGATAATTAACTATTGAGATTGATATTGGAAATTGTTTTGAGATGGCGATCCCCGATTTCTTGTTGTTCTTGGCACTACATCAGTGGGTTTTGTAGCTTCTGTTGGAGTATTCCAGAACAATAAAGAAAAGGGTCTTCAGCCAACACAGTTTGCAGCTCAGACTGATGCACCATCAGTTTCCATCAGCTTCCAAAAATCTCTACAAATTTCTAAAATTTAAATGAAGCTTGTTTCACAACAAAAAAATTTATGTTGTAATGATTACTTCCCCATTGCTCAAATCAACCACAAGGTAAACATTACCACATACAAAGGGTCATACCAAATAAATGACATTCCAAGCAGATATGTATAAAATAAAAGAGTAAGAGGAAATAAGAATGCAGACCTCTTCATCACTGAAGTTGTAGGCAGTAGCTGATTGTGGGGATAACCTTCCCGCAAAAGAGTATTTATCATCAGGAGGAGTGATAGAATCCTTGAGAGACTGCAATATCTTCAATGGTGTGATGATATAATCAACCCTGCACAAGAGGACAGCAAAGCTTGAGCAACTAGTGATCCTTTCTGCCGTTCAAACTATCAAATTCCCAAATAATGATTGAAGATCAGTCATAACAAAGTTACCCAAGAAGATTGAAAATATCCTGCTTGTTCCGCACTGCTGCCGCCATCAACTTCGATTTATGCCCATATTTGTGAATGTAATTATAAGCTTTTGTCACCTGCAGTGATGTACTATAGGCTGAGCGCATGAGCAATTCAAGGGTGACAACTGTAATCACTTGAGTGACTCAACATGCAAGGGAGAAACTAAAAGGCAAAAAATATCAAACAAAATCAATCTATGCCTCGTGTCCCGCTAGAAGAAGTAACAGGATTGAATTTAAAGAAAAGATGAAGTAAGCGTTGAACAGCAGTTGAATAAAATTTTCAGACAAGGCCAATGCCCTACCTTACAGAGTTTTGTGGTGGTGGCAGTGCAAAGGTGTCAGCAACTCTGACATTTGAAGGTTTTAAAGAAAACCCTATGTCCAAATTTACTATAAGCTTTGGACCCTATCTTTACCAGCTAATATCACAAATAAAATTCATCCACTCCTGCTCCCACCTCAAAGAAAAATTGAAAACATGTCAAACTGGAAAAGAATAAGCTCTTTTAATTCACTTGTATGCAAGGATACTATTAAAAAATTATAAAGTTCATCATTTGAAACTTTGGTGACAAGATTTGCTACAGCTGTTAACCATCCATCAGCAATTGAACCATTTTCTAATCAGTGGGGCCTATGGCCAACTTTCATCAGAGCTCAGAAAAGGCTTTCACCTTAGAAGAGGCACCTTCGTGTTTCAAATCTTTTAAACAGGCAGAAAAGACATGTAGGCATCACCTCTAACAGTAATACTAATAATAGTAATAGTACTACTGATAAACAACAATATTAAAAAACCATTAGCCTACATTTGTCCTGCCAATGCAGTATACTAGGAAGGGTGGAAGAAATATGGTAAACTTTAACATTATTGGAACAAAGTGACAGCAACAGACAAGAACTCTGATCCCAAGCTTCACAGCCCACGCTTTTACCATGTTTTCATTGATAATGATGGATGATATTACAATTATCTGTGTGTTGTTAGTTAACAAGCCCATAGAAATAGTCTTTAACAAAGAACTAAAAATAGGGTTCAGATGAAAACTTGCCACTACTTTCAAGTTTCCAACAAATCTCTTTTTATTTTATTTTATTTTTTGAAGGAAGGGAGATAGAAGATGAAAGGTAAAAATATAATCCAAAGAAGATGTGAAAGAATTGAAGAGATGTGGCAGAATCTTTTATTAACACAATCAAAAGAAAGAAGATGTGGAAGAAAAAGAAGAGACAGCAGAACCAAAATACAATGCAAGTCGACAATAACTATAAAAATCAATCTAAACTGCTTAAGCTTAGAAGCCAGGCAACTTTCTCAAAACATGAAAAATCACAAGAAAATTTCTTTTATTTATTTTGTGTTTGTGTGTGTGTGGATGGTTTTATGGGGGAATTCCACCGTAATCTGCCAACATTTTCAAGCAAAGTTTACACTTAAAACTCAATAAAAGGAGGTGATTCAGTACTATAATGAAGTCACTTCGGGGTTAACATTGCTGCACCCAACACACAGAGATGCAGCAACATCAGCAGTAAATATACAGCCAGCCACCCTACAGGGGACCAATAATCCTTACTAGCCATCTATGTTACATGGACTCGGGTACGAGTATCGGGTGCGGGTGCGGGTGCGTATCTAGGGGTCGGACACTTTAAAATTAAAAATTAAGAATACGTGGATATGTATCCAAATTTGGATATGGGTACGGGGATACGTTAAATAATTTAAAAAATATATATATATATTTATTATATGAAGATGAGTTATATTATATAAATAACAAATAAAAATCTATGAAGATGAGTTATATTATATATATATTTTTATAATATTTTTATTTTAATATATATTAATTATTTAATTTATTTATTATATTTTTTAAACAATGTGTTCTAATTAATTTTTTTTATTTTATATTACATACATGCATTTTATTTATTTTTTATTAATATATATAAGTATATATTATCTTATAAATATATTATAGTTATATAATAATTATTATATAATATATAATATATAATAATAATAGTTATTATTATAATTATTAACTATTAATAGTTATTAACTATTATTATTATTATTATATATTATTATAGTTATTATAATGATAGATAGATATACGAATAGATAGACAGATATGGTAGATCGAGAGGAGATCGAGAGCAGTACGGGAGAGAAGAGGAGATCGAGAGATCGAGAGCAGTATGGGAGAGAAGAGGAGATCGAGAGAAGATGAGATCGAGAGACGACAGAACAGGAGAGATCGAGAGACGAAAGAACAGGAGATGAGATCAAGAGTAAAGGATCGATTGGGGTGAGATCGAAGCCTGCGACTAGAGAGAAGTCGGCGACCAGGTTCTTGCTCTCTCCTCTTTCCTCTCTTCTGTATTTAGGGCTATTTCGTTGCTTCTCTATGTAGGGCAAAACATAGCCGTATCCATTTGTGATGAGCCGTATCCCGGCCGTATCCCGCACCCGTACCCGTGTCGTGTCGTGTCGTGTCGACACAGGTACCTCCGAAATTTCAAAGAGTCCATGTAACATAGCTAGCCATAAGGGAATAATGAAGTCAACATAGCAGTGAGGTGTATAACTAACCAAAGCCAACCCAGGATCTTCTCCTCTTCTGAGAGCAGCTTCTATCTCAGGGTCACCAGAATGGTTGCGTGCCCAATCCTGAAAAAGATGAACACACCCTAGCTGTCACCATATCGAATATTTTACAAACAATGTAATTTACTCATTAGAAAAGAGGCATTACCCTAATGCGACCAACAAAAATCTGAATAACAGAAGCACCGGCTTGAGCTGCAGCCGCAGCTTGGCCAAAGCTGAAGCATGACAAATGGCAATGATTTAGCAATAGGTTTGATTTATGAATGCACTAAACCTTAAGACCATGTTCGAGTGTTTCAACAAATATAGTTGGGGATTAAAAACTGGCACTAGATATACAGGGCCAATCAATACAACAGTGAAATGTTGGGAAAAAAAAAGGGGGGATATCAAACACCAACTGCAGCTTTTGAACCATGATAAGAGCCTAATGATGCATTAACATTCCAGCCTCATTCTTTAGTTAATGAAAACTCAAACACCACTTAAGAGATAGATATTTCGTAAATATCAAAATGTATAGAATGACCACACCTTCCATATAAATCACTTTAATAGCTAGATCAGAGACCTTTAATATGAAACATTTTAACACCCGTGTATATTACATTTGCCATATATAATGGCACAAACATGAGCTTAATTTTCATCACAACAATCAGTTAATGATCACTTGATAAATGGAGTTTCACATCTGAATTAATATAAAAATTCATTCAAAGTTTTCATAACCAACAAATGAAATATTTGAAGGACAAGCTTCCACTACAAATGCACCTGTAAACAAAAGTCAAGTGTGTCTGTATGCCTTCAGATTCCAATACTCTTGATGCCTCTATTCCCTGAGTAGAAACCAATACATTACAAGCCACAAAGAAAGACAAAGAATTACTAGCATTCATGTGTCATGCAGTTTTTAACATATAAAATATACACACATTTCTCAGATACTCACTTGCCAAGTTGAAGGAATTTTAAATAACAATCGTTCTGGAGGGACGTCAATTCCATGATACAGTTTCAGCAGGTCATGCACCTGTGCAGACAATGATAAACTCAAAAGTGTCAATACTGCATATATACATAATCAGTAGAGGGCACGTTATAACAATGGTTTCAGCATCCCTTGTTACAATTGTCCATTTCAAATATGCTCAAAGTGTTGTGCCAACTGCCCTCAACACTCAATGCTATAGCCATTCAACAAACAACATATAAACGCACAATTTAAAAAACATTGCAAATATAAAAACTGATATTGACTTACAACTTAATATGGATGATCAAAATGAATGCAAATCCAATTTTCAGGCAAATACCATATAGCATGAGAGGTTTGGATAATCCAAATGGTCACTTACTCCACATTCATATAGTGAATCACATCTCTCACAAACTACAGACCTTATGAGAAAGAACTAAAGGTATCAACATCAAAAACTTAACATCCTGTTTAAAAATTAGAAAACAACAAAGGAAAAATAACAAAAAAAAATCAATGACATCAGGGAGAAAACCCCTTATTGAGAAAATATAAAATACATAAAAAAAAATTGAGTCGCAACCTTTGTTGAACTGTTCATGTTCAATGGAGGTTGAATATACTGAGCAACAACTCAAAGTAGTTGAGATAAGGCAAAAGCATGCTGATCAGAATGTTAAATCAAATATAGAAAGGACTACCAAAAAAGTAATTGAAAGCACGATATTTGCTGTCATTAACTTATGGCAGTATCTTCATTATAGACATGAGTGAATGAACCACATGTAATTATGTAGGTCCCACTACCTTATGTTATAGGTAATAAAATTTGTTAGAAAAAAACTGGATTGTATAACTTCACAGAAATTTAAGTGGTGTTTGGTAAGATTTGGTTTTGGATTTTTTTGGATTTTTTTTTACTAAAAGACAAAGTTTTTGCAAAACTAAAAAAAATTAATCCAAACAAAATATTACATCCAACTCCATAATCATTTCACTTTTTCTCTCACAAACATCACATCCAACCATAAAAAAATCCAACTATCTTCTCAAACAATAAAAAAATTTTATCCAATAATATTCTACAATTAAAAAAATCTACATAAAAACTCACTTCCCAAACACCCACTTAATCAACCTTTAAGTTCCAACATCCTACATTCAACTTAAAAACTGATACTATCAAACAAAAAGCTCAGAATAATAAAGGTACAACATATCCCAAGACGAAAAATTGAAAAAAAAAAAAACTTGGAAGAAATCAATACCTTCCTAACAATGCCGTGTGTGTCATATGCAAGACGAGCATCCACTTCCGTTGAAACTCGACCAGGGACGAGCTTTGCAAGTTCACCACCAACATTTACTAAAGCCTACAGATTCCATGCTCAGTTGTCAGACCACCAAACTAACCACATATATGTGTATGCACACACATCCATCTATATTTATATATTTGATGGGTGACTGACGACATGTTCAATCACACTAAGGAAAGGTATTACCTTGTTAACGAAACAGGACATTCGAACATCTGGGCCGGCCGGCCCGTAACACTCAGAATCTGCCAACGCGGTATCCACAGCACTCTACACCCCGGAAACAAATGTATACAAAAACCAATCATATTCATAAGCTCATGGGCCCATCACACCATGTAAATACATTGGCAACCATGTAGAACTACAATGCTTAAAAATCCCATTTTTGTGATTGAATTCTCAGTTTCGTAACCAAGATTTCAAATTTAAATAGCATTCAGTCCCATATATGTAATATGATTAAATTGATACATGTGTGTATATATATAAATATTACCCTAAACATTGTATCGGGGAGACTGCAGATACCGAGCAGGAGAGAGGAGCTGACAGTGGCAGCAGTTGGAGGAAACCTGTAAATTGCCAAACAAAAACCCAATAATCTGCTGAAAAAGGAAAAGGGGAAATGGGAAATTTGGGGAGAAAATGTTTTACCTCTCGAAATCATCGAAAATGACAGTATCGGGAACGATCTCGCTGTATCTTGACACAGAGTCTAATTCAGTGATTGAACCTAAATCCATCAAATCCATCAAATAGCACATTGAGTAAATTCAACAGTTCTAGATTATATATAAGATGAGAGAGAGAGAGAGAGAGAGAGAGAGAGAGAGAGACCAGTGTCGAGAGAAGAAGAGAAGCCAGTGGAAGCTCGAATTTGAGGAAAGGATCTGTGAGACTTGAAGTTGAAATTAGGTCTTGCGGACCGAACGATGAAGCTCAACCTTGTTTCCTATTCGATCAAAATCTCTAAATTTATATATATATATATATAGAGAGAGAGAGAGAGAGAGAGAGGATTCTTACTTGAAGAGAGGAGGAGGAGGAGAGAGCTGAGGAAGGCGGAGAATGCAACGAAGCTGACATTTCGAGAGAGTCTGCTGGTTGAGAGATAGAGAGAGAGAGAGTAGATCAGGATATTTATACAGAAATATATTATATGATTGGTTAAAGTGTCAGCACATAGCATAAACTAAAATTATTTCCAAAAATTTTGATATTGGATAACGATGGGGTCTGAATCGGTGGAATTAGTTCCATTAGTTAATTTTATTTTATTTTTTTATTAAAAAGTTAATAATTTAAATTTATTCATATTAAAAAGTTAATTGAAATTTTCTTGATAAAATTATATTTGATTTATTCTATGGGTTTAACGATGGGGCCAAAATAGTATTTCATTCGCCTTGTTTATTTTTAAAAGTAGAAGGGAGAGAATTAATATTAAGGAGATTGTTAGTAAGGAAATTAAGTAAAATTATATTTGTTTTAATGAAAATTGTTAGTGTTGGAATTGTTAAATTATTTTTATGTAAAATAATAAAACAAATAAAAAAATTTTAAAAATTAAACATTAATGTTTAAAAAAAATTCTCAATATGTAAAAAATAAGAAAAAATTCTAATTCCCTTACCAATTTTTTTAGGGGGATGCACCAATAAATCCCAAATTAATAACTTATGCACTGTTTAGTCCTAAAAGTTTTCTTATAGACTGAAAGGTCCTATTACAATGTTAATAACATCAGATACAATGTTAATAACATCAGAGTCATGTTACAAACATTGGATTTCAAACATCTAATGTTCATCAAATTTCAATAATGTTTGAAAATATAGGATGAAAAACATCTAATGTTCATCAGGTTTCAATAAATTTTGAAATTATAGAATGAAACATCAGATCATTTACATCATTCACATCATGTTGATGTAAAAATGGGACTAAATGGAGCATAAGAAACCTTTTAGGACTAAATGGTTCAACGTTTCAAAAACTAGGACTTATGGGTAAATTTTCTATTTTTTTAACAACAATGATTCATCTTACTAAAAATATCACCACTAATAACATTAATGCATTAAAAAAATAAAAAAAATTACAATTTAAATTTATTCATATTAAAAAGTTAATTGAAATTTTCTTGATAAAATTATATTTGATTTATTCTATGGGTTTAACGATGGGGCCAAAATAGTATTTCCTTGGCCTTGTTTATTTTTAAAAGTAAAAGGGAGGGAATTAATATTAAGGAGATTGTTAGTAAGGAAATTAAGTAAAATTATATTTGTTTTAATGAAAATTGTTAGTGTTGGAATTGTTAAATTATTTTTATGTAAAATAATAAAACAAGTAAAAAAATTTAAAAATTAAACATTAATGTTTAAAAAAAAATTCTCAATATGTAAAAAATAAGAAAAAATTCTAATTCCCTTACCAATTTTTTTAATACCACCTCCACCTCCTCTATTCCAATCTCCTTTTCAACCTTCATCTTAATCCTCTCCTCTATCCTAATTACTTTCCTAATTTTACAAATAAAAATAATATTAAATAACCCACCTCCATCTTAATCTCCTCAAATCTATTACACTCCGAAACAAACGTGGTGATTGCTAAAACTTCAAAGAAATTACAGATATTTGATGCACGTGTCATTGTAAGCATTATCCAAAAGACTTCACATCCCCGTGTAAATGCAAACCTAGTGGTCTTTTTTGGTTTGGGCCTTTTGTGCTCTTGGTCCTAAGCCCAGTGGTGTGGCACTTTGGTAAAATTTTAGGCTATAATTTGAGGTCGCAGATTTTATTTTATTTATTTATTTATTTAGATTAGTTATTCAGGCAACAGGATATGTGATTGGTATGATGAACTTTTTAAATTTAGATGACTTGTACCTATTGTCAGGAGTGTAGATTTGAATTGCCGCCTATGTACGAGTCTATAACCTACTGCTATATGATTGAGTGATCCTATTATGTAGCAACCATCTAAAGGTAACCGTTGAGGTCTCAACTTCATATAAAGTTTAACCCCAAATATTATTCCTTTGTGTTTTCTCATTTATATATATTTTGAGATGTGATTGAGATCCCCTCCAATCACCACCCCCCAGCCCCACACACACATGGCGAATGGTGATTGGAGGAGAAGAAAAAAAAGAAAAAGAAAAAGAAAAAAGAAAAACTGGTCAATCAAAAAGAGAGGGGGTCAAAAGGGGTAGGAGAAAAATGGGGTTCGAATCATTTTTCATATAATTTTTCATATATATATATATATATATATATATATTTATAATTACAAAACAATGAGATACTAAAACCATGATCTTCTAGTAAGATATACAAGTTCTAACTATTGATTTATCTTTGGTATGATTCATACCTATCCAACATATAAAAAGAGAGAGATATGAATGAGTAATGTTAGAGATTTTAAAAATTTTATCAAATATCTTATATGGGTATATCTATGTGAAATATTTAGTAAAACTTTTAGTAAATTTTTTAGAATCTCTAGTATTTTTATATATGAATAGCATTATTCATTAATTATTCTAAAATGTTGAAGATTTAAATAGATTAGTAGTTGATAATTATTTACCTCTTTCAATTAAAAAGTGTCTTATTTTACACAAAACCCAATTATTAACAGTGTTTAGTTTAAAAAATTAAATATATATATATATATATATATTTCAAATCTCTCAAATATAACATAAAAAAATAAAAATAAATAAATAAGGGATTGTTTGGGATGACCTAAGTGTATTTTTTGTCTTTTTAAAAAAAGATATATAAAAAAATAAAAAAAATGATGTGATGAAAAAAATATATAAAAATAAAAAGATAAATTATTTTTAAATTGTCAAACTTGAGCTATATGTCATTGTCATCTTTATATAATCATTGTCATCTTTAGATAGGCTTACTTGTGCTACTACCACAATTTCCCTCACTCTCTCTCTCTCTCTCTCTCTCTCTCTCTCGAGTGTGATTTTTGTCTTTTAATCAATAATAGTACAAATTGTTGACAATAACAAGGTCAAATTGTTGACAATAACAAGGTGGATTTGTTTTTGAATAATCGGCTAGTTTTGGTGGGCATGTATGGCTACTTCTACCCTCGCTTACTCGGCCGGGCCTCTAAAATAATGGCAAAACAGTGTTCTGCGTTTGCTTTGGGACAAAATTGGGATGGGGCAACTCATTCTCAAAAACAGTGGGCCTGATCCATTTCTAATTTTTTTTTTCTTTGAGTGTTTCGAATTTGCTAATTTGATAATTTTTTTTTTGAATTATTTTTTGCCTTTAATTAATTAATTATTTTTTGTAAATTTAAGTTTCTAAATTCAACTCGACAACACAAACTGAAATGTTTTTTAAAAAAATTCATAAAAAGGCCAAAGAGACAAAAATAAACGAATTTTTTAAACTTATTTGGTTATTAAATAAATTTTTCAAAAACACAAAATTACTTTTTAAATTTGTTTACATACGGACCACAAAAGTAAATATTTTAATATTTTAACCTAATTTAAAAAAAAAATCACTAAAAATTAAAAAACAAACAAATCAAAAAAATAGATGATTTTAAACAACTCTATTTTAGTCTAAAAGTCCAAAAAAAAAAAAAAAAAGACTAACATATTATACAAAAAACTAAAAAAATTCTTCTCTCTTTACTTTTTGTCCCTTTTTTCCGTGAAAAATCAAAAAATATTCCACATATTACTTTTTTTTTACCTCATATTTTAACCAAAAAATTACTAATAAAATAATCTATTCCCAAATGATGAGCTATTTAGTGAATTAAACAAGTAGCTTATTTACTTATTTGCCACAATTTATAACATCACTTATTTATTTTTTTACATATCTTTTCGTAAAAAATCAAAAAATATAAACCCCAAACAATTGATGTAAAAACAAAGAAAAAAAAAATACTTTGAAAAGGAAAAAGTAAAAAAAAAATCTGAATAAAATATACTTATATTTTACTTAATTTCACACTTTTTTTTCTTTTTTCTTTTCAAATCACTTCCTAAATCCCTCAAATTCACGAACCAAACACAGCATAAAGCCATTACAAAACAAACCACAAATAACTCTCATTGAAGACGGTATTTTAACCTTGGGGGAGAAAAAGGAAAAGGCTTTACAAAAGTGCAGCCCAAAAAAATCTTCGAGCAATGAACAATTCAAGTAATCAATTGAAGAAAAAGAAAATCAAATTGGAATTTAGCTAGCAGCTCCCACCTGCCTCAATTTATTATAAACAGAATTAAGACCTAACAAATAATTCATCTATACTATACGTATTCAATCGATCAGTACTCTTCTTTATCGTTTTTTGTATTGCATTTCAACAGCCCACTCCTCTCCTTCCATCTCACGAGAGACTTGAGGAATTGTTTCACCTGCATTTAAATTTAATTTTTTTAATAAAAAAACCAAGTAAATAAAAATTCACAAAGGAGACTATATGCAGAACTCAGAAGTGCACCTCTGAAGTGTCTCTTAGAGAGAAAAAAGCCTTGGTTTCTTTTGGGACAGAAGATACAAGAATCCCATAACCTCGGTTACCCTCTCGCAATACCTGATATCAAGATGGTGATAAATTAAACTAATTAGATTACTGAACATAGAATTTAATTAACACATGAACATACAACTTCACAAGCTCATGAGACCCCAAAAACTTAATATAAGTTGTTTATTACCTTGAATGCATCTTCATCCGACGTGTCATCTCCGATGTAGATTGGGAGCACATCGTCACCATTACATAGCCCTGCACCAATTGGTAGATTATAAGATCGAAGAACTAAGAGAATGTAATATATTAACACCTACGACTTGTTCACTTACCAAGTGACTCAAGCAGAAACTCAACTGCTTTCCCTTTATTCCAATCAATCACTGGACGGACCTCTAAAACCTGTATATGTGAAACAGGAATGAACGCCCAATTAATATTTGAACATGATAAAGCAAAAAAAAAATAGAGAGAGGAAAAAAAAAGAAAAATGAAAAAAGAATATGCTACAAATCCAAAAACAAAACCTGAAAAATATGTTGAGGAAATTACCTTCCGACCATGAGTTAGTCGCAAGTGTGGGAAATCTTTTAAAACGTCATGAACAATTTGTGCAATAGTAGACCAATTCTGGAATCAGTCAAAAAGTAGAACATGTTTAACTTGTGAACCAAACTATTAACAAGCTAATGTGAGCTATTATTTCATCACATGATCAAATCTATAAAGAACCTGTCAATTCCTTACCTTCTCATCTACGTTACGATAATGTACAGAGGCACAAAATTTGTGACTCTCAACTTTTGCACCTTTGATATCGTTAGTCTTATCGACGAGGGTTCTAAAAACCTGCACAAATCAATATGAAAGAACCAAGTCCGTGTCACATTATTAGATAAATGCTGTTTACTTGCACAATATAGTGGTATATGCAATAGAATTACACACCTCATCAATCATGGGTAAAAATTTGCTAGCGGGCTGGAAAAGGTTTACCTCCTTGCCCTACACATGAAGAATAAATCAGATGCAAACACAAGAACAGGAGTTTGCAAGAAAAGCGATTCAAACAAGCCATTATCACAATCTACAAGTACAGTGGAAGTGGAAATAAAGAGTTTTAGAAAGACTTGTAATATCTTACCTGCTGATCAGTAAATTTAATACAATTCGAAGCGTTAGCAGACACACTGTCTTTGACTGGACACATGATGTCCATACCATGACTACCAGCATAGTAAAGCTCTGTTAGTCCCACCAAATCATAAACCTGAAAAGAGGTTGGGAATCAGACACTAATTGCAATAAGAAATAATATGTGCAAACAAAAAGATAAAATAATGGGGCAGAGGGATGTAAGACTCTTAAAAGATTCTGTATGGTATTATAATCTTGATTTTCAATGTTTTCGCTTTTCGTTTTCATTTTCGTATTTTGTGCTTTTGAAAACAAACAATAATGGAAAAAATTGACAAACACCCATGATTGCTAATGGGTGTCATTCAAGATAGAAAATTTGCCACCTACCTTGTCACGGCTTCTTCCACTAATGATTGCTGTTGGAATATACTTTGCAACATCCATAACAGCAGAACGCATCTGATAAGAGATGTGGTTTAACTTCAGTATGAACACTCTACTATACAAAAGGAACAAATATTCACACATATAAAGGTTAAGATACTGACCTCGTCAGACATGAAGGCACGATCAGGGTCATCTACAATTGGCGAAAGAGTCCCATCATAATCTAAAAACATCACCATCTTCTTATTCCTCGCACGATTTATGATTTTCTCAAAGGAGTTGAGGGCCGATGGATAACTCAGCTGCCCAATAAAGAAACAACAATATGGACAAAAGATTAATTTTAATTTTGATCAATCCTTAACATATTTGCAATTTAGACAGATATAGAGACTTTAAGGCTACCATCCAGGAGCAGTAAGCAACATCACTATCATCTAAAGCCACCTCAACATTGCAGTTTTTAAGTATCTTCTTGCTAGGAGGTGAAGAAGATTTCATGGCATCAAGCCAACCATTGGACCGAACATCATCGAGCTTTCCTGGCTTCTTTCTCGGAATTGTTAGCATGTCAGAGGAGAATGATGCTCCAGATTGCGCATATGGCAACAGACTGGAATGTATTCCAAGTCTGGACTTGTTTATCACAGCAGGGTCAGTAAGAACAGGAGAAACATTTGTCGATTTTAAATCCATCTAGTCCAGATTACTTGCTCAAAGTTCTGACTACAAAGAAAAGTGTATGATGTATAATCACTGCTTGGTAAGAAAGTGGGGCTTGGTATACGCCTAATGTTGGATATTCTTCACCCAACCCTTTTGTCTATGAAAAACCACCTCTTCAAAGTTTTCTTGTCGCTGCTGCTGGGTGGGCAGTCCATTAAGCACAAGCTTCGCGAAATCTGACAATAAAAACAACATATTAAACAAAAAACATACCTCTAGTTTCCTTTTGTTTATTTATAATTTGTTTGACATTCAAAATAAATAATCAAACTGCATCGTACCTCATCTCTAAAGGTACACTGCATCTATAGACGAAGGCTACACATTAGTTGTACAAGTTTTTCTGAGAACAGAGTGATGTATAGCCCACAACGCCAGCCAAAATCAATGTAGTTTCTACCTGTAGCATGAAAAACAGAGTCCAGTTAATTTAATTTCTGCAACATCATAAATTGTCATACATAAAATGCTAAAAAAACATTTTCTACGTACACAGTACTACTAGGAAGCACAAGCATAGACCAAAAACACTCCAAGAAGGAATAATAACTGGAACAGTCTGAATGCAAATTTGGTGAAATTTGTTCAGGACAGATGTTCTCTATTTTGTCAAGTAGAGACTTAAAATAAAATGCTGACAAAATAGTAGTCCTGAACTACCATCATTTTCAATTTGTTCCGAAAGATGTGATTTTCCATTCCATTTAAGAAATAGCTACTCCAATCTGATAAAAGAATCTGAAGACACTTGATAAAATTCCCAAGGAAAATCACCTTTAAGGGATTAGAAAAAACTGATAGTTAAATTATAAACATTGCCTTTCCATGTGTATCTAAATTAAGCATCATGCATTGGCAACTCTGCAACAAATAGTGTGCACATAATACAAAACATGTCTACATATATGTAGATTTATGCATACATGTGCATGTGCATATCACACCTAATTATTTAAGTCTAAGTTTGGTTCAGAAGGGGTGCAGATTTTAAATGGATCATTGTGAGTGGGAGATGCCAAACTTCTGGCCTACCTAAAAGTAAAAAGTTATATATCCCAAAAAATGCCCATAAATAAAGCACATAGTGTAGATTCAAATAGTGTGATGTGGGACACACCCATAGTAAATTAGGTTCATACATTCCTTTTTGGGGATACTTTTTTCTGTTAACAAGTGGTGCTGCTACCTAAAATTGACTGTTTGGGAAAATAACCAAAAGTTTTGTAAAGTCTCTCTGCTAGCATAAGGAGTGCTTCTCATGCCCAGACCGAACAAATAATGAACTGTATGTTGAAGAAAACATTGCTACACCTAATCAAAGCGGAGACCATAAATCACATTTCATAATTACTTTGCAAGGCAATGCAAAACATATACAAAAGCAGCAGATCTGATGTAAAAATTCAAAATTGCAAAATAGTGAACACAGTAAAAATAGACAACATAAAATACCTTGATTCAAGTATATCAAATTAGCTTTCACTTGTCTCATGACTAGTGCTCTCTAAATCTACAAAATAACTTGATAAAAATTTGCCACAAATTCAGAGAGTTTCCTTTCCCATTACTGATCAGTATCATTTTGACATGGATCTGTCCTCGGTTTTACCTTGGTAATTCAATGCTTCCCGTTTACAAATAAAATGTTGTAGTTCTAAGGTGTAAGGTTTAAAACAATATGTAATATTTTGATGTCTTTTTACTTTAATTTTAAACTCGAATAATTTTATATGTATAATAACATATCTTACTGTAGTCAAAACACACATACAGCTAGACCCAAAGACAACAATGATATAGGATGCTAAACTAGCACTGATAGACACATACACGCAAGGTAGAACATCCAAATTTTGACATTACAATCAATAGGTAGATATATTTAAAGAAAGATGATGGTTATGTCAAAAAAATGGCATAAACATTAGTACCTTGCCATGTTTTTTTTGCCATGTGTTTTTTTATTTTATTTTTTTCCAAGAAATTTCTTCTTCCGATTTAAAATCACAAAATTTGATCAGGTTATAATTGCAAAAAACAGAAAGAAAAAAATCAACATCTTGTCTTGTCTAGTTTGCAACAAACGACCAAATCAAATCTTTATAAGAAGAAATTTAAAAATTAGCTGTCAAATCACGATTAAATATATATATTTATGTGTATGGTCATATATTACTTATACAAATACACAAACACGCAGGGTAGAATATCTTGATATATAATTCATCAAACACGATCAAAACAGGTGGTCAGAAACTAGTTGGAATTAAATAATGATTAAAAAACTAATCACAAAATAATAATAATAAAGAACACACTAGCATGAATCTTGCACAAGAAAACAGAAACTCTCAAATCGTGAAGATATGCAAAATGATTCATCTTCTTCTCTCAATTCCAACAGCATTGCATAAAATAGCCTAGAAATTTTTCCATCATCAAAGAAAATAAGAGAGAAAATGGAAGCAGCAGCAATACCTGATTCGTTCAATCAGGTGGAGATGACAGACTCGGAACCTACAAACGGACGACATAGATTGAAAGGGAAAAGAAAAGGATTAATGAGAAAATTGAACTTTGACGAGAAACAAACAGAAAATGTATAAGAAAAGGGGGGAAAGGAAGGAAGGAAAATTGAATCTATCTACCTCCACAAAAACGGCTGGTGGAGAGAGAAAACCCTAGAAAGAAAAAGAAAACGCAGGAAAGTAGAGAGACAAAGGAAGAAGGATTCTGAGGGCTAAAAGTTTGGGTATTTATAGAGTTTGATCGGAAAAAAGACGTGCCAAATAAGGCATGTAAACGAGTCGGTTGTTGAATTGGGAAACAAACACCTCCGCAAGAAATTTTACCAAATCAATATTTCGTTAAATATTACAACTATACTATAAACCGAAAAACGGTGCAACAACTAGTATTTTTAAAATGGGCTTGGTTCTCTTTAGCTGAGTTTTTTTAATTAGGAGGTATTATTGGATTTTTTGGGCTTATTATGGAGGTCGTATTGATAATTTAAGCTGTTTAATGTATAAAATTTGTTGAGTATTGCATCTCTGTAAAAAATTACATCAATCAGATATCGATAACTAATTGATCAGATCACATTTCTGTCAACGATTTATTTTTAAAATTATATTTACCGTTGATAGAACTATAATCTAATCAAGTGACTATCGATATATGATTATTGTGATTTTTTATAGAAATAAAATATTTAATAAGTTCTACAAATTGAAATATCCAGATTATTAATGTGGACTACGTGGTGAGCCCACGGAGGTCAACAACTCTCTCCAATCTGATTTGAACGGGCGAAAAGTCTGTCCGTTTTAAAAGCTAATTAACTCATTGTAAACAAAATTTTAAAAATTTCTACAGTAATGTACGTTTTTTATTTTGAAATTTTATTATAATATGACATGACATGTTAAAGTAATAAAATAAAATTATATGTTTTGTCTCTATAAAAAATGTTAAGAGCATCCGCATCAGACTCTTCAAATTTTTAAGCTAATTTAATCCAAAATTTACTTTTTCTATTTTAACTAGTTACATTTTTAATATTCATTGCATCAAACTCTCTATTCTAACTCAATCTTATTAAAATATTAATTTCTTATTGTATTTGTTATTCTTTTCTTTTTTTATTAAATTGATGAGGTGCTATCCGAATAATTCTTAAAAAAAATATATATATATGTTGTTGACCGGTTGACTGGTTAGGCTAATTTTTGACATATTTCTTTCTTTTGCTACAGTACTCACGGGATATCCGGGTGAATGATCGATTTACAATTTTTGACCTAGTTTTCCTATAGAAAATATAATAAAAAAATTATATAACGAATGAATAGTGTCTCAACAAAGTTGTTAAGGTACTGTAGCAAATTTAAGAAAATGTTAATTTAGAAAAAAATTTCTGAGGCTGATGGAGGGAAAATTTGATAATTTATTAGTTATATTTTAGTTTTTTGTTATTTTGGTGATCCTGATGCGGATGCTCTAATTGTCGCCCAATTAGCAATAATTAATAGTAATATATCTGTAAGTTTTTTTTTTTTGAAAAATTTTAATTCAGTATAAATTTTAAAAAATAATAATAAAAATTTACAAATATTAATAATTGAAATTATAATGTTTTCTATGAATCTGTTATAATTTTCTATGAGTATCATTGACAAGTAATTTTTTTATTTTTATATTTTATAACTTATATAAAGAGGTTTGCGATATGTGAAATATGTATAAAAATAAATGAAAATGTGTATGTTTAAAATACTTAAACATCATTCTTAAATATATTTTCAAATAACATAGACAATTGCAGGTTAATTGATAATTTATTCAGGAAGCAATAAAAATAAGGAAAATGTTTGGTAGCTCAAATTTTTGTGGCTCAAATGGCTCAAATCTGTCAAAACGACGTCGTTTTACACTCAAAATCTGTCAAAACGACGTCATTTTGACAAATTTGAGCCATTTGAGCCACAAAAATTTGAACTACCTAACATTGTCGTAAAAATAAACCAAATTCTACGTTAGTGTGACTAAATATAAAAATAATATTTTAAGAATCATCAATATTATTCTAGATGAAATGTGTATTCAAATTCTACTCTCCTAAAAATATATTATAGAGCCGTAACCCAATGATGTGACCATGAATTTAATGATTAAATTGACAATTTCAAACATACATTTATATATATATATATATATATAGTGCTAAATGCATGTTGGGAATTTTATGTTGGGTGGTACAGCGAGGTAGAGGAAGCGAACACGTGTTGGTGGGCGTGTCAATTTACTACCCAAAATATGACGACACTTGTGACATGTATCCTTGTCACGTGGCCACGTGTCTCTGTAATGTGATCCCCGCCGCACTGGATCGACGGCTTTCAGTTCCAGTGTGCACCTCTCCCCCGCTTGTTTCGCGGACACCTCGACAAGGTTTCATTACAAATCAAAAAAGGTTAATAATTGGTTATGTTTTTTCAAAAATATTTTTTAGAAAATTTTATTTTCTTATTTTTTGTATTTTTTTATTTTTATTGAATTTTTTTAATATTTTAAGTAATTTTTTTTTACTTTTTAGATATACCTAACATAAATATATTTAAAAAGTAAAAAATTTATAAAAAAAATCTTTTAAAAATTCACTAAATACCAAAAATATTAAAAAAATACAAAAATTCAGTACATTTTTTTATATTTTTATGTATTATTTTTAAAATATTTTTTCACAAATTTTTTACTTTTTAGATATATTTAAGTAAAGTGCATCTAAAAAGGTAAAAAAAATACTTAAAATTTTAAAAATATTTACTAAAAACAAAAAAAAAATACGAAAACCAAAAAATAAAGCTTTCAAAAAATTTAATTCAAAAAATTCAAACCAAACATACTGATTATTATTATTCTCCATAAAGAATCTTTTAACATCTTGTTGTTTTGTTTCAATTTCATAATCAATTTAAAAAAAAAAGAAGCAATTTTGAATATTTAAAATTTAAAATTTATTATTTATTTTCTTTGTGACCAAATTATATAGTATTTTGTTTGGTAGAATGTATGATTTTATTTGCTTTGATTTTTAAAATTTGTTTTCTGAAAGTTTTTAAACAAATTTTAAAAATAATTTAGTAACAAAATATTAAATAAAAAACACTTGTATATTTAAACACACAACAAATACCAAACAAAATAAATATAAGTTATCAAAAATAAATAAATAAATAAATTTAAACCCTAATATTTTATTAAGACAATAATTTTGGGCTATGAAACTAACCCGTTGACATAAACATTAACAAAATATATCTTTCAATCATTGATTTTGTTAGTACCTTTTAGTAGTCTTGATTAGGGCTGGGCATAGAGTTATCCAAATCGCCCAAACTACCATACCCGATCTGAACCGCACGCATGTGGGCGGTTTCGCAAATACATTAAGGCAGGGTGCGGTTTGGATTTTATATAAATTTCGGGTTGCGGGCGGGTTGTGGGTTTGACCCGCACCCACCCAACCCGCCCGCATTAATTTTTTTTTTTTCCTCTTTCAAATCTAACCGTCCATCTCTCACCATCTCACTCACCTCATCTATAACAAACAAAAGAAAAAACCCTAATCGCTGTCTATACCTCACTCCCTCAGTCTCATCTCATCTCATCACTGTCTCTCTCGCTCTCTCGTTGTTCATCTCATCGCACTGATCGTCTCACTCTCTCATCGCACTGATCTACTCTCGAGTAAGCCTTTATCTCTCTCAATCTCTGTCTCTGTCTCTCTCTCTCGCCCTGATCGAATCTGAATCTGTGTTATGTGTGTTTGTTGGACCAACAGATCTCTGAATCTGTGTTTTGTGTGTTTGTTTTGGTCTGAATCTGTGTTCTGTGTGTTTTGTGTGATCTGAATCTGTTTGATCTTAGATCAAAGGTAAGAGTATATGTCTGTTATCTAAAAATCAAGGTCTGAGTTATTATTCTAGATTCTTTAGAGTGATTTTTTAAATGATTAAGATTTAATTTTATAAAAATTGAAAATTAAATTTGAATGTTTGTGTGGTTTGTGTGTTTTGGAATTAAATTAAATTTAAATTGAAAATCAAGGTCTGAGTGTTTTGGAATTGAATGGTTTGTGCTTAAGGAATGGTTTGAATCTGTAACTTGAAATTTGAATGGTTTGAATCTGTAACTACTACTCTTAGTTGTTTTATATTTTCAAGAATTCTAAATCAATCTGTTATTAAATTTGAAAGAGTATATGTCTGAATCAATCTGTTATTAAAATTAAATTAAATCTGAAAGAGTATATGTCTGTTATTTAATATGTCTGTTATTAAATTTTAGAAAATATGAGGAAAGAAAAAGGTTCAAAATAAAGATTGACAAAATGAGAGAAAATAAAAAAGTTTAAAAATAAATTTTTGAAAAAAAAGTTCAATCCGCAAACCGCCCGCAACAGCCTGTACATTCGCGAACCCTATCCGCATAAACTGCAAACCGCATTACGGGCGGTTGCGGGTTGACTTTTCTCCAAACCGCATACATGCGTGCGATTCCAAACCGAACCGCAAACCGTCCCAAACCGAACCGCGGACACCCTTAGTCTTGATAAAGAGTTATAAAATACGAAAATATAATTTTTCGCAAAATGTAAGCTGTTGATGCTGCTCTGGTCTTATCTTAATACAATTTGTGGAGACGTATTTTTAGGGTTGTGTCACGTGGCTGAGGTGTCGTCGAGATGTTGGCTAAGGTGCTACGTGGACGAGTAAGATTGTCAATATGATTGTGGTATTGCTGAGATCTAGTGCGGTAATACCGGAATCCGAGACATTTGAATAGGGAACAAGAGTCCTAAATAAGTGATGTACTTAGTTATAAGGATAAAACTTTTGAGGAGTTCATCTATATTTAACTAAGAGTCCTGAAATAAGCGTTGTGTTTAATCATATGAAGTGAGACTTCTAGAGGATGAGGACACTATAGGCTATAAAAATAAGGTACCCGTGGGTCTAAGGTAGACTTTTACTTGTACACTGAATACTTGATTTGATATCTTTGAGAGATAAGTGATTGATTTGATAGTGAGAGTGCCCCTAGATGGACGAGTCACTGTAGTATTCTTGTCTTTTTGTTGGTAGATTTGGTTTAATCTATTCTACTGCGTGGTCTCTAGCAAAGTTTTTCGATTTGGTTGTGAGGTCAAAAATCACCACTCACAATTTATTGTAAGTTAAAAATTAATAATTTAAAAATAAAAGTTAAAATTATTTCTTAATTAGTTTTAAAATAATCAGTGTTTTTAAACTTATTTAGGTTTCGTT